AGACTCTGTCTCAAAAAAAAAAAAAAAAATGTTTTCAAGATTATCATGTTTTAGCATGAATTAGTAGTTTATTCCTTTTTATGGAATAAAAATAATATTCATTTGTATGGATATACATGTTTAGTCATCAGTTAATGGACGTTTGGGTTGTTTAACCTTTTTGGTTCTTGTGAATAGTGTTTCAAGTGAACATTTCATGTACAAGTTTTTTATTTATTTATTTTTTTGGTTCAGGGTCTTGCTCTGTCTCCCAGGCTGGAGTACAGTGGCACGATCATAGCTCACTGCAGCCTCAAACTCCTGGGCTCAAGCAATCCTCACGCCTCCCAAGTAGCTGGGACCAGAGGTGCACACCATTACACATGGTTAATTTTTAAAATTTTTTGTAGAGACAGGGTCTCCCGATATTGCCCAGGTTAGTCTTGAACTCCTAGCCTCAAGGGAGCCTTCTCCCTCAGCCTCCCAAAGTGCTGGATTGCAAGCATGAGCTACTGCACCCTGCCATCATACACAAGATTTTGTGTGACTATATGCACTTAAATCTTTTTTTTAATTACAGAAGTAATACATGTGTCATAATAAGTTATCCTTTGAATTTTTTTCCCCATAAAAAATCCTTTTATATAGCAGGAAAGAGATTTTATTTTAAACAATAAAGATTTATATGAGAATGTAAGGGGGTAATATCTTTTTATTCCAAAATTTTATGGTAAGCTTGTCAAATTTGCACCCAAAAAAACCCCTACATGTAAAAAACACCCTCAAATTTAAACTTCATAATAGAGGCTGGAAAAACACTGAAGGCTAGAGACAATAAGCAGCGTCCCCCTGTTTCTCAAGAGCTAAAAGTGGTGCTTAAACATCCAGCTTCCTACATTCTAATCTCTTATAACCCAAATTTAGAATCTCATCTATGCCTTAAAATCAAACCTCTGCAGTATTGGCAGGTTCTCAAATTTCATACTAATACATATAATTAGATCACATGTTTTTACTAATGTTATCTGAACCTATATCTGGCTGATAATTGCTTCTAACTTTTTTTTCTTAGCCAGCCTGCTGCCTCCCCTGTTTCTAATTTTTAAATACATTTTTTAACTCATTATAGAAATTTTAAAATACACACAAATACAGCCTAGCGCCCATGAACCATCACGCAAACTTAACAGACATCAGCTTTATGCTGTTCTTGCTTGATCTATTCCCATTTCCCCTCCAGTTTTTTTTCTTGGATCATTTTAAAGCAAATCCTGACCATCGTATTTCACCCAACAAAATTAACAATAATTCCTCAATAGCTACTATGCAGTCTGTGTTTGGTTTTCCCATGTTGTCTCAAAAATGTCTTTTGACTATTTGTTCAAATTAGAATCCAAACAAGGTCCACACAATACATTTGCTTGATATGTCTTTTGTCTCTTTAAATCTATCATAGTTTGCCCTCCTTTTTATGTGTTGAAAAATGGGTTATTTGTCCTGTAGAATAACCCACATTTTGGATTTGGCTGCTTATTTCTTTCCCGTATTGTTTAACAGATTGTTCATTCCCCCATATTTCCTATAAACTTGCAGTTACACCAGAGGCGTGATTAGATTCAGGTCAGTTGATTTGACATGAATACTTCTTAGATGATTCTGCATCCTTGTGTTGCGCCATATAAAGAGGAACATAACAGCCAGTGGTCCCACCTTTAGCAACTGAGCAGAGGGTCTCAATCTTGCTCAGGCTGGTCTGGAACTCCTGACCTCAAGAGATCCTCCTGCCTCGGCCTCTCAAAGTACTAGGATTACAGGTGTGAGCCGCCATGCCAGACCAAAACCTATTTTTTTAAAAACCTATATTTTAAAACACTCTCCCAGTGATGTCCCACAGATAGCGCTTAATTCTCCCAACAACGATGTATGACAGTACATGCCAAGTGTTGATCCTGTGACACACAGAACAACTGCACTGCGCTTCCCACAAAGAATTATCTGACTCAAAATGTCACTAGTGCTGAGGTTGAGA